AGGGGAGAAAGGGGAGTGGGGGGCAAGCACTGGCCCCTCCTTAAATCCTGAGGAACCAAAAACTCTTCCCATCCTTCCCCTGGGATCAAGAATCCCTGAAAGCAGCACTCATTGAATCCCCCCCACCGTTGTAAGTGAACAGGTCCTTTCTTAAACTGCACACCCCAAAGTGGGATTCCTGGCAGCTGCATAAATGACAGGAAGCCAAGTTTCAAGGCCTGGTTTCTTTTCTTTTTTTTTTTTTTTTTGGTACCAGGGATTGAACTCAGGTCCTTGTGCTTGCGAGGCAGGCCTCCGAACCGCTGAGCTAAATCCCTGGTGCTCATCCCTCTGCCTCTGAGTCTTGCTGGGAGGTTTACGGAAGGGCCTGAAACCCCCAGGGCTCCAGTGGAGACCTCCTCTTCCTGGGTGACTTCTTCCCTATACCTGCATGGAGCCAGGCACCCAGAGGATGGAGAATGAATGAAAGATGCATGCAAATCAATAACCTGACACATCGCCTGGCACACAGGAGGTGCTCGTCAGGAACGGGGTGTCATATTAAGTGCGAGCTGTGGGCTTTGTGGCCAGGAACAGCATGGCGTGCTAAGTCGCTTTCCTTTCTGAGCCCCGGTTCCCTCACCTGTACAATGGGAGTGGTCCTTCTAGGTCTTGGGCCCTGTTCTGCAGGTCACTTGGTAAGTGGTTGTGAGACAGACACTCATTTAGGTGTCACATCATTGGGAAGATGCACACAGATGGCTGGGACAGGTGAGGTCCTGCCAGTCCCCCTAAGCAGCAAAGAAGGCTGTGGGTGGGCGGGGGCTGCTGGGCAGGAGTGACATCCCTGGTCTCGCCCGGAAACGCATGCAGAGGTCCCTGGGTGTGTGAGGCCCACGATATGCCGTGGGTTGAGCTGAGCTAAGAGTTATCTTGTAGGTGAGGGAAAACACTTTAGTGCAAGTGGCAGGGCTGCAGGGGGCTCCTCTCAGTTCGGAGGAGCAGCACAGGTGGGGTTTCCCTGCTCAGGAGTGTGACTGCCCTCTCTGCCCTCAGCCCCATCTTTCTCTTCTCCCCCTTTTTCTTTCTCTCTTTCTTTCATACAGAGGATCGAACTCAGGACCTTGCACTTGTGAGGCAGGCGGTGGCACCACTGAGCTACATCCCCAGCTCTCTTGGTCTTTCTTTTCCACTCTCTTTTTTTCTGTCTCTTTTTCCCTCTCCTTCTCTCTCCCTCTTTCTCCCTGTTTCTCTTTTTTGTTGTTGTTTTTGTTTTGGTGTTTTTGAGACAGGGTCTCACTATGTAGTTGAGACTGACCTGGAACTCACTATGTAGCCCAGGCTGGTTCGAACTCACAGCGAACCTCCTGCCTCAGCCTCCCGAGTGCTGGGATTACAGGCGTGCGCCACCATGCCCTGCCCACCACTTTGACATTTTAAAAAACTTTTAAAGGGCAGGAGATTGCACCTTTCACCCGGGCCTGTAGCTGGTCTGGACTGGAAGCTCAGGGTGGAGTCCGAAGAGGGAGTTAGAGGAGGCCAGGCAATGCCCCCAGAGCAGATGGGCAGCATAACAACCGGCTGCATCTGGCCGTGGCTGTGTGTGTGTGTGTGTGTGTGTGTGTGTGTGTGTGTACATGAGTGTGTGAGAGTGCAATGTGTGTACCACAGCGTGTGCTTGTGTGGTATGGGTATGTGAATGCGGGGCAGAGAGAGACAGAGATGGAGGGATGAGGGGGCAGGGAGAAGCAGGGCAGCTTGGCAAACACTGACAGTGCGTTGCCTCTTTCCTGTGTGCCGGGCAGGGAGGAGGACTGCGGGATTGAGGTGCTGAGAGGAGTCAGCCCTGCATTTGCCTAGGGGCCTCACAGCCAACCCAGTAAGGGAGAGAGATGTGTAAACAGATAACTGGAATGAAGGAGCAGACTTAAATAAGCCCCATAATAAATATTCTACCTCTTCACCCACCGCACAGGAGGCCTGTGAAGCTAGATTTTCCCTGAATTGGTGGGCGGGGTGGGGCTGTGGGATTCTGGGAAAGGTCTGTCCAGGAGGCCAGGGTGGCCTGCCCAGCCCGCCTGGGCCAACCCAAGCCTCTCCAGGCACACCCAGACGCAGAGCAGTGACCTCCCTCCAGCCACACACCCAGTCCCACAGAGGTTGATAAGCGGTAGCCAGTAGCTCAGGGCGGGACACAGACAGCCCAGCCCCACCCCCACTCCACTGGGACACACCCGAGGGGCAGGTAGGTGAGACAGGGCCCACCTCTGGGTGGGGGTCCATTCCCCGGGCCTGCTGAAAACTGGGGTGAGGATGGCTGGGTCCCCAGAGAGGCCCTGGGGGAGGGGGCTGAGGAACAGCTCTGTACTGGGTCTTCAGTCATCTTAAGGGAAGGTAGAGAGCAAGGTTGAGGAGAGACATTTGGGGAAGAAATGTGTCTCCAAGCCTGTTTTGTTTTGTTTTCTCCAGGCTCACCAAAGGAATGCTGGGTTCTGGTCCCCATTCTCACCAGGCCAATGACCTCGGACCAGCCTTTGGCCTCATGGGTAAAATGGGGACACCCAGGCTCCTCAGAGGGCTGAGGCAGATTCAGTGAGATAAGAGGATGAAGAAAGCGACTCATAAACTGGAAACAGCAGGACAAAGGTCAGCCCGGCATCCCAACCCTCTTTAGGGGCTTGGCTCCGTCTCCCCATCTGCCCTGTACCCCCTCTACTTGCAACTGCCTCGCAGAATCTTCTTTGGGGAGCTGAAGAAGCCGGACTGGGGAGGCTCAGCAAATGTGTCTAGGGTTCCAAAGCCAGCTGACCTGCGGCAGCACCAGGTCCCCTCTCCTTGGCATGTAAGCCCTGGAGACAACCTGCAGAAGCCAGCACAGCGCATAGCACATAGATTCTCAGGAAGTGAGGTCACTCTCAGGCTCTGGTTAAGGGCAGCTCGAGCTCAGTGGCTTGGTCGGCACAGGGCCAGGCTGACTGAACTTCCACCCTAGGCCGCTAACTGTTTGGCTAACTGGCTTTCACTTCAGACAGGAAACAAAAGAACAACCTCTTTCCAAAATGGCTCCGTACTCTGGCTTCTCTTCAGATCGTATAAATCTTTCGCCTTTTTGAAAATGGCTCCAGAAGATTTGGGATTCTTTCAGGATTCCATTATTGTCTTCGATAAATCCTCTTTATCTGTATCTCTTCAGTGAATAATCTGATATTTCCAAGACAATTAAGGGCCCCGGGTTTAGCTCAGTGGTTCTACCACCTGCCTTCTAAGTGCAAGATCCTAAGCTCTATCATGGGTATCCAAAAAAAAAAAAAAAAAAAAAAAAAAAAAA